TCCTTGATTTTCATCTAGTGTCCTGTTTTTCTCATTAAGTTCCTTGAACATTTTGTTATCAATACTCTGAACTCTGTTTCTAATAACTTGCTTAACTCCATCTCATCAAAGTCCTTTTCTGGCAATTTTTCCTTTTTTTAAATTTGGGGGTTGTTTCTTTGTCTCCCCATTTTGGTAGGTCTTAGTGTTTGTATCTATATATTAGATATATTTGCTTTCTCCCAGTCTTGTGGGATGGGATTTTGTCTTGTGGGTCCACTGGAGCCCAGAGGTGTGTTTTCCTTTTACATCTGAGTTCTTTGCTCTAGGCATGTCCCTCTTTTGGGTTTCCCTTTGTGGTTTCTTTATGTTTTCCTGTTGTGGTTGGGTCTAGATTGTAGTTGATCAGTCCTTGGGAGGATCCTCCTCTCAGGTTGGCTAACTGTGTCTCAGCTCCAACCTCGTCATGTAAGCTGTTGTACTGGTGCTGGCAAGGCAGGACAATACACAACTAAACTTCCAGGAAATAAGAGGTATCTTACAAAATACCTTGACAGTCGCAATGAAAATAACCCATATGAAAATAGAACTGGGAGAGTGAAGGGAGAATACACACACCAAAAGCAATGCTTAAAGAAAAGAGAGAAAGAAAAGTAATGCTTAGAGAGAGAGATGTATATTGTTGTTAATACTGGTGAAAATTTAGAAAATAATAATAAACTAAAATGTAAAAAATAGAGAAGCTACTGGGAGATAACAGAAGCAGAGAAAAGATTCTGAAAGAAGGGCCAGCAAAAAATTAAGGGAGAGAATAGGAATAGGATAATAGTTGAAAATGAGAAAACAAAAGTACAATAAAGAGAATAAGAGAAACTAACAATCAAACAAAAAGTCAGGAAGACAGAAGGGAGGATAACAAAAGAATGAAAGAAAAGTAGAAAAAAAATAAAGAAAAAGAAAAAAAAAGTTATGCCAATGGATCGAGAGGAGAGAGAGAGATATAGCCCAGGCACGCAGGGAGTCCAGTAAGAGATTTGGTAGAAACTATAGAGGAAAGCAGTAAACTTTGTATAATGNAGGATAATAGTTGAAAATGAGAAAACAAAAGTACAATAAAGAGAATAAGAGAAACTAACAATCAAACAAAAAGTCAGGAAGACAGAAGGGAGGATAACAAAAGAATGAAAGAAAAGTAGAAAAAAAATAAAGAAAAAGAAAAAAAAAGTTATGCCAATGGATCGAGAGGAGAGAGAGAGATATAGCCCAGGCACGCAGGGAGTCCAGTAAGAGATTTGGTAGAAACTATAGAGGAAAGCAGTAAACTTTGTATAATGAGTTGTTAAGCAGGGATATCAAGAAAGTCTTGATAGTAGAAGCAAGGATAAAACAAAACAAAGCAAATAACCAAAACTAAACTAAAAACAAGCTAAGCAAGACAAAATTCTTTTATAAAAAGTAGAAAAAAATTTAGTTAAAAAATGTTTTAAAAAAAACATTTTTTTTAATTATTATAAAATTTAAAAAAGAAGAAAAAACAAGTTTTCTCCCCTTTCTCTACTTCCTAAGGAAAAAAAAGAAAAAACAAACAAACACACAAACAAAAAACAATCAAAAAAATAAAAACAAAACAAAAGAAGAAAAAAAGATAGTCAATCAGGTAAGCTTCTTCTGGGCAACTTATGTTGTCTGAGGGTCACTGTTTTGTATGCTGATTTCAGTTCTCCTGGGAGATACTTTGGTATCACCCAATGTGAGGAGCTGAGTAGGTTTGGCTCTTGTGTCCTTAGGTAGATAGTTGATCTGAGGCTCTTTGTGGACCACCTCCTCTTGTCAATTATTTTGTNTCTGTGGACCACCTCCTCTTGTCAATTATTTTGTAAACTTGTAGTTGCCTGGTCTTACTCCAGAGTCTTCTGTAGAGTCTTTAGGGTGCAGGGTGGCTAGTGTAGCTCAGGGTATCACTCCCCTTAGAGGTTTTGCTGTCAGGAGCTCCCTGTGTGGGAGTTAGTCTCTGCTCCACTGCCAGCTCCTCAGTCCTTACCTTGTCCTCTGATTCTAGTTCCCCATGCTCTGTCCTGCTGCAGCTTCAGATTGATTTCAGCCTGTTGCTTTTTCTGTATGTATTGTTTCAGCAGCCTGGGCTCAGTGGGTTTGATTAAAAAAAATTCTGGTGAGCCCTTTGCCTGCCCAGCCCCCAGCAGGGGTTTTCAGCTTTTCCTCTAGTTCCCAAACATTAGTCCCTGAGAGTCTTATTCTTGTAATGTCTTCCTGTGAGCTCCCTTCCCCTCAGGACTGTGCCCTGTGGGGTGTCTGGGGCTTCAGTGAGCTGGACCTGCCCCTTTCCTGTTGGGGGCAGTGCTCTGGGGCTGCAGGAGAGGCAGGCAGGCTCTGCCCCTCCCTGCTCAGCTCTGGTTGGCTGGTCACACCAGGCCCGCCCCTCAGACCGTCTATGGTGCAGACCCCAAGCCCAGCGCCTCTGGTCTATCCTCACAGTGCACACTGGGAAGGTGGGAGACAATTCTGTGATCAAACTCACAAAAGCACAAAGTAACACCCAGGCAGAAAGTCCACCCTGCAATGTCCCGCCGCCCTCACTCCAAGGCACCCAGTGGGAGGGGACCCAAAGTCAGCTCCATGCAGCTCCCTGCACCACTGGTCTCAGCAAAGCTGGGGCGACTTCACTGGCCACCACGGCGCCCCTTAGGGCTGGTCACAGATCCCAGCCTCTCGGCACCAGGAGCTAAGGGCGGGAGGGCTCCTCCCCTCCCCTGCACCACGCAGATTCAGTGCTTTCTGGGGCTCAACACAATGCCCCACAGGGAGGCAGAGGGTCCCCGTGTGTGGCTGCTCAGTGAAGTCCTCTGGTTCCTTACCATTTATTTGGGTGCCACAGACCTTGGGGCAGCCTTCCCTATAGTCGGCACCCTGAGCATTAGACACCTGTAACAGCCACCACTAGAAGCTTTGTTTCGCTAGGAAGGTGCCATCCACCATCAGAGGTTTTGTTTCCTAGGAAGGTGCCATTCCCTCCGGGACTCACCGCTTCCCTGGGTCCCTCTGCTCTGTGCAAGGGGTGCTCCTTCCCCTCTAGTTGCTTGTGGTGTGAAATCCCCCTTTTGGAGGCCGGTCCGTACTCCCGAGGGGAGGGAATTTTGCAGCCTCCAAGCCTCCAGGCTCAGAGCCCAACACAGGCTTTAGGGGGTCTCCTCCTTCCTATTCCCTCCTCTCTTACCAGACTCCGTGATGTTTCTTCAGTGCTCTCCACTCACACTGCTTTCACTCAGGTATGTTTCTCTGGTTTTTCCAAGATGGCTAAGTATGATTTTAGGAGTAAATCAAGTCCGTGGCTGGGAGTGGGGGAGCTCTGCCGCTTCTCACAGGGCTGCCATCTTCCCTTCTCAAATGCATTTTTAAATTGCTTGTTCCTTGCAGTTAGTCCAATTACATAGGCTAGTGATTCCTTGGCCTTTTGGAAATTAAAGTAACTTCAGTAGCTCTCCCATCCTCCATTCTTAGGCTTAATAAAAACCCTACTTAATTAAAGTGCATGTAGCATAAGTGTATTTTTTTTATTAAGAAAAAATAAATTTAATTTTCTCCCTTTTTAAAAGACTTTTTAGAGCAATTTAAGTTCACAACAAAGTTGAGAGGAAGGTACAGAGATTTTCCATATAACTCTTGTCCCCATAGATGTACATCCCACCCCATGATCAAAATCCCCAAGAGAGTGGTACATTTGTTACAACTGATGAACCTACACTGAAGCATTGTGATCACCACAGCCCATAATTTTCAGTATTGTCCACTCTTGGCATTGTCCATTCTATGGGTTTGGACAAATGTACAATGACATGTATCCATTGTTATAGAAGCGTACAGAATATTTCCACTGCCCTAAAAATCCTCTGTGCTCTGCCTATTCTGCCTAATCCTCCCTACCCAGCCCTGACAACCAAAAATCTTTTTTTTCTTCTTCTTCTTTTTTTTTTTTTTTTTTTTAATATATCTTTATTGATTTCAGAGAGAGGAAGGGAGAGGGAGAGAGAGAGATAGAAACATCAATGATGAGAGAGTGATTGATCAGCTGCAGCCCACAACCCGGGCATGTGCCCTGACCAGGAATCGAACCCTGATCACCTGGATCCTAGGCCAATGTTCAACCGCTGAGCCATGCCAGGCTGGGCCACAAATCTTTTTATTGTCTCAATAGTTTTGCCTTTTCCAGAATGTCCTATAGTTGGAATCATACAGTATGTAGTCTTTTCAAATTGGTTTATTTCACTTAGCATTTAAATTTCCTCCACATCTTTTCATGGCTCGAAGCTCATTTGTTTTTAACACAGGATAATATTTTTATTGTATAATTGTACCATAGTTTATTTATTCACTCACCTACTAAAGGAAATCTTGGTTACTTTCAAGTTTGGGCAATTATGAATAAAGTTGCTATAATCATTTGTGTGCAGATTTTTGTGTGGACATAAATTTTCAGCTCCCTTAGGTAAATACCAAGGAGTGATCTCCCCCACCCCCTGCCCTTTTTTTTTCTTTTGAGAATGGGATAGTTCTATCTTATGTAATTGAAGATGGCATGGGTCAGCACACCCAGCCCAGGTTTTACTGAGAAAATGTGTGGTCATGGGAATTCTTAGAGAGTCTTTGACATGCCTGAGTCACCCTTGTGGGAACTAGCAGTGGTCAATAGTGTGTTGTCAGCCATTAGATCCATGTTCCTCATTGAAATAGGTAAAGAACCCACAAACAAATACTCTCACAGTAAAAACATACCTAATTATTTCCATATAGAAGCCATAAACTGATTTGTTAGTGGAATGAAAAGAAGAATGCTGTATTTTAATGACCATTGTACAGATCTCTGAAGCTATACTGGTTATCAATGTTCACCATAGAAAGTGGAGTTGGGGAGATTCTCAGGAGAGAGGGGAGGTCTTTATTCTTGAGCTAGTGATAAGCAAAAGACGAGGTGATGACATCTCTGCTCCTTCTCACTTCCCTTTTAGCATGTGACTGCAACAGGGAAGGTACCCAGAAGCCCATATGTGATGGGGACACTGGCATGTGTCACTGCCAGGAAGGTGTCAGCGACCAGCGATGTGATCGCTGCACACGGGGTCATGGCAAGGAATTCCCTGCTTGTCTTCGGTGTCACTCATGCTTTGATCAATGGGACCACACCATTTCTTTCCTCTCCAGAGCAGTGCAAGGGTTAATTAGTCTGGCTGTTAACATGGAAGATAAAAGAGAGACCCTGCCTGTCTGTAAGACTGACTTCAAAGGCCTCAGAGAGAACATGTCTGAAATAGAAAGGATTTTAAAACATCCTGTTTTCTCATCTGGGGAATTCTTAAAAGTCAAGGATTATCATGACTCTGGTAAGATTTGTGCTCGAGCAATGGATAGTAAAGTTCCTGATTTATCTTAATTTCTACTGAGCTTTAACAGCCTTCAATTTAGAAATGTACTTACATGTATGTTGACATTACAGAAAGGATAATTATCCAGTTTATTTTTTAAAATAATTTTTATTTTTTAATTAAAGTTGACATACAATATTATATTAGTTTAAAGTGTACAACCCGGTGGTTAGACATTTATATAACTTACTAAATGATCACCCTAATAAATCTAGTATCCATCTGACACTATACATAGTTATTTCAATATTATTGACTATCTTCGTATGCTGTACTTTATATCCCCATGACAATTCTGTAACTACCAATTTGTACTTCTTAATCCCTTCATGTTTTTCACCCATCTCCCTAACCCTGCTCCATCAGACAACCATCAAAATGGTCTCTGTATAAGTCTTTCTGATCTGCTTGTTTGTGTGTTTTTGTTCAGATTCCACATATAAGTGAAATCATATGGTATTTGCCTTTCTCCGTCTGACTTATTTCACTCAGCACAATATCCTTTAGATTCATCCATGTCATTGCAGATGGCAAAATTTCTTTTTTTTTTTAATGGCAGAGTCATATTTCACTATATATATGCACCACTTCTTTATCTATTCATCTATTGATGGACACTTAGGTTGCTTCCATATCTTGGCTTCTGTAAATAATGCTGCAATAAATATATGAATGCATATGTCTTTTCAATTTAGTGTTTTGGATTTTTTCAGATGAATACCCAGAAGTGGAATTGCTGGGTCATTCGCTGTTTCTTGTTATAGCCTTTGTTTTAAACTCTATTTTGTCTGATATAAGTATTGCTACCCCAGCTTTTTTTTTCATTTCCATTTTTATGAAATATTATTTTCTATCCTTTTTCTTTGGGTCTGTGTGTGTATTTCAATCTGAAGTGTGTCCCTTTTAGACAACATATATAAGGGTCTTGTTTTGTTATCCATGTAGTCACTGTATGTCTTTTGATTGGAGCATTTAATCCATTTGCATTTAAAGTAATTGTTGATAGATATGTAGTTATTGCTATTTTATTCATATATTATATTTTCTTTTTCTTCCTCTTAAAGGAGACCCTTTATTATTTCTTATAATACTGTTTGGTGGTAATGATCTCCTTTAACTTTTTCTTGTCTGGGAAGCTCTTTATATGTCCTTCAATTCTAAATGATATCTTTTCTGGGTAGATTATCTTGGTTAGAGGTCCTTGCTTTTCATCACTTTGACAAACTCATGCCAATCCCTTATGGCCTGCAAAGTTTCTGTTTAAAAATCAGCTGACAGTCTTATGAGAGATCCCTTGTAGGTAACTAATTGCTTTTCTCTTGCTGCTTTTAAGATTCTCTCTTGCCGCCCGGCCAGATGTGGCTCAGCAGTTGAGCATCGACCTGGGATCCAGGCGATCAGGGTTCGATTCCCAGTCAGGGCACATGCCCAGGTTGCGGGCTGCGGCCAATCAATGACTCTCTCATCATTGATGTTTCTATCTCTCTCTCTCCCTCTCCTTTCCTCTCTCTGAAATCAATAAAGATATATTTAAAAAAAAAAAAAAAGATTCTCTCTTGCCTTTAACCTTTTGCATTTTAATTATGATGTATTTTGGTATGGGCCTCTCTGGGTTCATCTTGATTTGCAGCATTAGAGAAGAAGGTGATAGCAAATGAACACACCCAGGGTACACTCACCAACAAGAAACCTCCTTGTCACTTGTGAGAATTAAAAGTTAAGACCATGTACAGAAGTAGCACTAAAATGAACCTTGCTGGAAGCAAATTTATTCTAAAGGAAGAACTGATCTTTACCCTAGGTTGGGCAGGGGTTCTGTGTTGAGAGCTGAATGTAAATTGGCTCTCTTAGACTGATTTAAATGAGCCATGTCTGAATACATGTTTTTGAAAACCCAAAACAAAGGGAGGCAGAGACAGTATAAACAGTTAATATTGAAAGATTCAAAAACCTTTATTCTATTAGGCCTTGTATGCTGATCATATTTGAAGTGAGTGATAAAATATTCCAGGAAGCTGAATTAACAAGAAGGAGATAAGCCATAAACAGAATTATAAACAGCCAAACGAAAAATGGGGTGGGGGGCAATAATTCTAATTATAAGGTAATTGCCCTAATAATGAGGACAATTTTTTTACATGTGTTTTTCCACCAATCTATCAAATGTAATACAAGCTTCGTTATGTTTAATCTCATTTTCCCCTATTGGAAACAAATCATGCAGCTAAGTGAGCAACTGAAAACAGAGTATGCATTTCAAGATCCGAAGGAAACAATACTGTAAAGGAGGAATGAAACAGAGCTCTTACTTGATAATCTTCAGGGAGAAATTGATTTGCACTCCAGTGCCCATAATGCAAGGATCATGAGTAAGAGAGAAAATGCACTTTAACTGTCTGTTTCTGGACAAAGGTTTACAAAATCCATAGTACATTCCATTAGAGAGTCACCTGTGCTTACTGCCATCACACCTGAGCACTTCAGAACATGAAAACACACCCAGTGAAGGCACTTTGTACATTAATATTCCAACTTTTTAAACATTGCAGAACCTAGATAGTATTTGCTCAAAATAATGAGTAAAGTTAACAATGTCTGATACTAAACAAATGCCAAAGTAACCTTCTAGAGCCAAACCATGCAAGTGGTCTTGTGAAATCAGCAACTTAGAAATTCTAACGTGCATAAGGTAATAAGAGAGATATGTCTCTATGTCTTCTTGAGTATGAGCCACTCCATTTCAAGCAACCATAAATGCAGAGGGATATGAAGCAGAAAGGACTTTCTCATATGGACTTTGTAGGGGTTTGGAGTCATGTAACATACTAGAAGCCCACAATTCACATTGCATAGTTCTCAAAATGATGGGAGCTGTGCCAAAGCCAAGATCAACTTGGAGGAGAAAAAGAACTTTGAAGCAAAACTTGGATTAACTCTTCTCCTGATCTCTGATGAGATCTCTGTTATATTTGGAAATGGACAACTTGAGAGGCAGCACTGAACTTACTCATGCTTAACCCATCTAATTGAGAGGTAAAGCAAAAATACACATGAAACCCACCTCAAGGCCAAAACACTGTCTGCTTTTCTTTGCTCCTGTTTTCCATCTGATCTTGACTTAAAAGAGAAAAAATAGATGACAATTATGATCCTAAATGAAGACATAAATTTAGTGAAATAACCATTGGACTTGCAGTCTAATAACATTACTGAGCTTTTTCTCAATATTTGACTCTGTACTAAGGAGATGAACACTGCAAGTCCTTGCCCTTAAATTATTCCAGTCTAGTGGAAAGACAGGCATATAAATAATCACAAACAAAAAGACTAAATTAGAGCATCTTCAATTGCTTCAGGAACAGAGTAGCAAAAATGGAATTCCTTCTGAGTTTATTAGGAAAGGCTTCAGGGAGTAGGTGACAATTGAACTGGGCTTCACAAATGAAGATAAATTTGCAAGATAAAGGAAGAAAATCATTCCAAGCAATAGGAACATGGTTTTGTTTTGTTTCATGATAAATGAAATCATGTAGGTTAAGATTATGTTAGTGTAAAAACCAGGAAGGTTTAAAAAATGAGGTATGTTTGGTACCTGGATTATGGCTATTAGGGAGTAAGGAGTAGGACCTTGGACCTCTGTTTCCTAAAATATGGAGTTATAACTTGAAGCCCTAATATACCATTATTTACATTAAAAACATACTGTATTACTTTCATGAATTTGATTTTTAAAAAAATATGTCTTTATTGATTTCAGAGAGAGGAAGGAAGAAGGAGAGAGAGAGATAGAAACATCAATGATGAGAGAGTCATTGATCGGCTGCCTCCTGCACACCCTCCACTGGGGACTGAGCCGGCAACCAGGGCATGTACCCTGACCGAGAATTGAACCTTGATCTCCTGAATCACTACTCAATGCTCAACCACTGAGCCACGCCGGCTGGGCATGAATTTACATTTTAATAAAAATATAGAGAAGTGCTTAAGGACACAGGTTCTGTAGTCAGACTACCTGGCTTTAAATCCTGGCTTTATCTCTTACTAGCAGTGAGACCTCAGACAAATAGCTTACCTCATCAGAGCCTCATTTACTCACTTATAAAATGAGGGTGATCATACTAATGCACGCCTCACAGTATTTTGTGAATGTTAAGGAAGAAAATTAATAGGAAGTAAAAGCATGTAAAAAGCACTCAACAAATATGAGCTATTGTCATCAGCCTCAACCTCAGAGGTCAGCAAAAGACCTCGGAGGTCTTTTCTTATGAATAAAGTTTCATTAGAAAACAACCTCACCTATTTATTTACTATTGTCTGCTGCTGCTTTCACACAACAATGTCAGAGTTGAGTCATTGTGACAGAAACACTAAGGTAGACAAGCCTAAAACATTTATCTCCTGGCTCTTTGCAGAACAAGTTTGTCTACTGCACTCTATATAATTGGGTAAATTTAGTTGGTTTATCATATTAGGTTTGATAATTAATACATAATTAATACATTTGTGGAACACTTTACGAAGTACTTTCATATCTCACTTAATCCCCAATTATTATCACCAATCCAATTTACAGATAAGGAAACACAATCTAAGAGATTAGCCAGTTTGCTCAAGGACATATCTAGGCAGTAAAAGGTGAGGCAACACTCAAACCCATGTCTTCAGACTTAAATCTTAATGTTCTACATCTATTTTATGTATATTTATTATACTACATCTAATCCTTCCTCATGAAGTGCAAATTCAAAGGAGAGAATATTGAATTTTTTTATTGTCATTAAGATGAAGATAGTGGTAAACTGTGAAATTATTTTCTTGATAGCCAATGTATAATTTCATTTCTTTTCACAACATTTATCTTATCTCAACTTGTGTTGATGTAGATTCCTCAGAGAACATCAAGAAGTATCATCACAGATGATCATCTGCTGAAAAAAAAAAATTAGTGAAACTACTTCCATCATAAATAACTCTGAAAAAAACAGGATTGACTTACTTACCATTTTAGATACATTAACCTCAAAAGAAAACTTGTCATTGGAAAAATTAAAACAGATTAAGATACTAGATATCCAAATATTGAAGCAAAAGGTAAATACTCATATGGTGTAGTAAAAATGTTTGTGGTTTCTACTTGGTATACAGATCTCTTCCATTATATTTCCCTGTCTTACATCTTTTTTTTTTCTCATTTATTTTATAAATGTATAAATATATGTAACATATATGCTCTATTATCTAATGTATAAATAACATAAATATATTTATTTTTTGTTTCCTAAGTCAAAGTTTGAGAAAAATTAAAGAGTAAAAATTGTGGCTTTATCTTATTGTTTTATAGTAGTTACTACTTCCAAAAGGGTAGTGATTTCTCCTCCTGCCTCATTATAAGTAAAAGGTAATTTTTACTTTTTTAATGAAATTAACATGGAAATGCTAGACATTTGACAATTTTCCCAAAAAACTGTAAGTATAAAAATGACACTGATTGGCACAATGCTGATAGCAAATAATTTAGATACTCATTCAGTTTCGTAGGAAACATTTAATGGTTCACATCTATATACTAAGCATGAACAAACACAGGAATAGAGCAGTGTCTTGCCTCCGTGGGCCTGGATGTCATTCAAGAAACTCTACGAGCAAGTTGCTTTTTAGCATAAGTCATTTTTCCTGTCAGGTGTGTGGAGAAAGAGGGGACATGCCATGTGTGCTCTCATCATGTGGTGGCCCAAGCTGTCGTGACTCCCTGACCCTCTCGAGCAATGCCCTTCAGAAAGCTCAAGAAGCAGAGTCCATGATTTATAATTTGAGCAACCAGGCTCAAGGGTTGAAGAATCAGGTAAATAATGTTTTCTGTTGCTTTGCTTGTAAAGCAGTAGCAATAAAATTTTTAAAAAGCAAACTATTTGAAATTGTAAAAACTGCCATTTAGGTTCTAAGCAAAAAGAAGATTCTAGATATTAGGTATTCTTATGCCTGGAAATACAGGATAAAACTATAGATGTTGATATAAATGTAGATTTAGAAGTAGATGTGAATATTGACATATTTTCTATAATATTTCTATTATTATATGTTTGTAGGACATAGACTAGTGTGGACATATTTCTTTTATTTCAAACACTGCATAGAAATGTGAAGACTCCCAGTGCTGGAGTTTTGAAAACTATAAATCTCCCAAAGTAAAGAATAATTTTTTGTCAATTCAAGGGTACATTTGAAATTCTTCCAAATATACACAATTTAATGTTAGAATTTAATTTAATGTTAGAAAGTATTTATGCCTTGAATTCCTTCCACTGAATTGTACAGTTAAAAATGGTTAAAATGGCCAATCTTCTTAGATATATTTTACCACAATTAAACAAAACAAAACTGAGTCTCAGGAGAAAAGATTCCCATCCTACTGACCCTTTTCTTTATTCAGACTACCTGGCTGTTTCTTAGTCCAGGGTCTTTGTACTAGCTCATCTCTCTTCCTGGAAGGCTCTTTACCAGCACTTCACATAACTGGTTCCTTCCACATCCAGATGTCACTCGAGTTTCTCCTTCTCCAATTTATATCACTTTATCCTGTTATTTGTGTCTCTCCTCATTAGAAATAAGCTTCCAAGAAAATCCCATCTGTTTTGTTCCTTACTACTTAAAACAGAGCCTCACCCCAAATTGGTGCTCCATAAATATTTTTTGAAGGACTGAAGGACTGAACCAATGGACTCTGGCACTTAAAGGATCAGGTCTCTACAGACAGACCTTGTTTGAAGTCAAGGGCAGAAACTAAGGCTGTGACTCTTGTTTTCTGGAGAATACATCTGTATATTGTGTTTTCCATTCTCCACTCCTAATTTTCCAAGCCCTAATTCCAGGTTAATATTTTTTTTTTAAATTTATCTTTATTGTTGAAAGTATTACAAATGTCCCCATTTCCCCCCCATTGATCCCTTCTACCCTGTACCCATCCCCCAGGCCTTCACATCACTATTGTTTGTGTCTATGGGTTATGCATATATATTCTTCTTTAAAAAAAAAAACACAAAAACCACACACATCAAAACCTGGGCTTGGTTCTCTCAACACACAGCTTTTTTTTTTTTCCTTATTGATTTCAGATTGAGGAAGGAAGAGGGAGAGAGAGGTAGAAACATTAATGATGAGAGAGTCATTGATTGGCTGCCTCCTGCACACCCTCGACTTGGGATTGAGCCCACAACCTGGGCATGTGCCCTGACCAGAAATCCAACTCCATCGCCCGGATCCTAGGTCGACATTCAACCGCTGAGCCGAGCCTGGCCGGGAGCGCCGAGGTTTTCTTAACCATTGTGAGGTAAATAATGTATCAGTCAGCATTCTTGTTTGCAAGCAACAGAAACCAACTCCTAAACAAAAGGGAAATGTACCTGAACACATCTCAGAATGGAGAGGAGGATAGAGGGCCAAGCTTGGGAAAGGGGTGAGAACCATCTGTGATACATGAGCGCGCGCGCGCACACACACACACACACACACACACACACACACACAGAGAGCAGCAGTTTGCTCCGGGAACCTCACCTCCATGGGCCTGAGCCCCAGCTGGTCCTGTGTGCTTGCCCCAGTGCCCCGGAGTCCAAGTCTGGAGCAAGCCTCTGATTAGCCAAGCTGGAGAATATCCTGACGCAAATGTTGAAAATTTTTATTTGCTTAGTCATAATTCTGTATTGCTGCATGGTTTTTCACGTTATTCTTCATTACTTTAATAGATATTCATGAGTACCTACTTTGTGCCAGGCATTTAAGTGTATGTTGTAAATACAGCCGTGAACATAGCAAATGCAAATCCTGGTCTTGTATCCCAGTGGCTAAAACAATCTTAATTGTTTAATATAATTTTAAACTATTATATTGACCCTTCTTAAAAAAACAGAAATTTCACACCATTTAAACAAGACCCCTTAAACTATACTTTTAAAAGACAGCCCCTTAAGTACAAGGAAGCAGAATCTGGTTTAATCAGCAAGTAAATGGAGAACTGGAAAAGGGTGGGGGAGGGTTGTCATGTTGATAATATGGTGAGCTATTTTCCCCTTGATTAGAAGCGGGAAGAGTGCCAGAGAGATTGTGAGAGAATTCTCAGGAGTCAATTGTGACAGAGGATGGATTGCAGAGAGATGTTTTAAGAGTGAAGTAATTTAGCAGTCTCTTTCTTTCTGATCAGCTAATCTCTGCTGCAATTTCATCTGTACAGTTTAGCTGTTTCCTGTCCAGAGTATTTATTTCTGTAATTCTCATTTTACTGTTATGCATTCTTACTTACTGCTATCTTTTTTTTTATCTTGAGATATAATTGACATATAACATTGTATTAGTTTTAGATGTACAACATAATGACTTGATATTACTAAATGATTAGCACAGTAAGTTTAGTTAACATCACGCAGTTGCATTTTTTCCCTTGTGAGAACTTTTAAGATCTACTCTCTTAGCAACTGCTAGCTATCTACTTTAAAGTTTTAAAAATTCTAGAGAATCAAGGAACAACTCAGAAATTAAGATACATATTTTTAGCCATGTAAATATTTTTTGTTTCATCATTTACCAAGGATATAATTAAATCCTTTTCACAAGCTATGTATGGCTCAGTTAAGCAGGCTTCACTGTGGGGAAATAAAGGGCCCTAATTAGCCCTACTTCTGTCACTGTTTATTCAACACAGCTCAGCTGGTTGGTGATATTGTCCTTTTGCTTTAGGTTTTTTCTTTTCCTCAAATTTGTTGGAATCCCAAGAAAAAGTCCATGACCTTTCTCAAACCACACATTTAAGAATTTACATTTCTAGATTGCAAGCCCTTTAGTCCTATCATTCCTCCATCAAATGTACAAAGTGTTTGGAATTAATCTTTGTAGTCTCCACTGAGTTCAAACTCATTTCTTAATAGAAGGAATGCTTTCTCTTAAGCTTTCAAAGAAAGTACATTATTTGAATTTGAGGAAGGTTTAGAAGAATATTTTAACTTATGTAAAAGAAAACGTTTTTGACTTATTACACATAATGGCCACTTTAAGTAAATAGCCCTAAGTAATTTATATGAAATTTGCTAATATGGAATGCTAAAGTCTCGTTAAAAGAAATTTGTGTCAGGAAAAGCTATTAGTATTAGGTCAATACTGTTTTCAAATAATGACATATTTTGAATACTAATATTATTTTAAAAGATAAATTTACATTATTAAGAAAACATTATCTTTTTAGAAGGGTTCTTTAAAATGTTTTAAAATTGTTTAATTAACTACACTTCTATGTCATTTTTGATGACTGTTTATTTGGTCCAGCTAAGCAATTAAACATCACAGAACATGCCTAATCATTGTGTGTTTTCCTCATTGTTGGTTTTTTTCTTATTCCAGATAAAAAATATAAGTAAACTGACAGAAGTCTCCAAAAATAATGCCTTCCAGTTAAGTGAGAAACTGTGGAACATGAAAAAACAAAGAGAATCTGATGAAGAAAACACGAATCTTTTAATAAAGAAACTGAAAAAGTTTCAGTTAGGTAATTCTTTTTAAATATTAGGACTAGCTTTTTTTCTTTTTTAAAAATGTATACTCAAACATCACAACAAATTTCAAATTACATTAATTGGTAATGACATGCTAAATCAGGAACATAATATACCCCATGATTTAAATTTTCTTAATGAAATTAATCCCAAAATATTAACTCTGTACTAAAAAATTATGACTCTCTGTATGAGATTAATTAGTAATAAACACTAGAATTTAGTCAAAATTAAAAAAAAATAATAATAACCTGGTGTTTAAAGTTATTTCACTTTTTTTTAAAAAAGAAAAGTCCAACATGATGCCTAAACCAGATTTCCTAATGTTAGGATCTTATCTTTTTCTCTGCTGACAAGAGTATATAAGATCTAGGTATGCTAAATTTTGGTTAGTTTATCAAATATCATAGTGAGGTAGCATCTAAAATATTGGTTATTAACTGTTATTGACTATTTCCTAAGTCTCATATTGCTCTCTATGGCTGGCCAAAAGGAACTATTTAATTCATTATTATTATGAATTATTATAATTATGAACTTATTTCTCATTATACCTAATTTCAGGAGAGGCTTATTTTAAACTCTGGAGAATTACTAAAGATAAAAATCAAATAATACAGCTGGAAATTGGCATGGAACCTCATTCTCAAATGATGCAATTTGGGTACAACACTATGGAATTAATTTCAAGAGGCTTTATTTTTCATAGTTATCTTCCAAATTCTATAACTTAACACTCTGCATATGAATTAATTAACATTGGGGATGTCTGTTACAATCTGTGCAATCACTTTATTAATCTGTTTAATATTTATAAGAGACCCCTATAGCCAACCAAGTATTTTTTCCAACTCAATGTTTCTAGAAATTGTATTAGCAGCTTCTAATCCTGATTTTTAAAAAAAAAAAAATTAAGCAGGAAAAAGAATTAATAAAAATGATCAGTAAAAATAGAGATGGAATCAGTCTACTGGACATTTTGTTTATTCGTTCAAAATCAAATTTTCAATGAGCTTGAGGAACACATTAACTATCTCTGCAGATACCAGTTGATTTGGCACAAATTAAAACTGCCAGATCATTTGTGTGAAAAGGGTGGAATACAGTCCCAAGCCCCGGTGACGGTTCAGAAAGTAGGTTTTTGCTTTCTACCTAGTTCACTGGGTCATAGAGCTTATTCCCATATTAGTCCTATTTCTCATTGCTGCTGAATAAATTTCTAATGAAATTTTTACTTTAATTAAGCTAAAAATTGGGAAAAACAAACAAACAAAAAAATGTGTGTCCAGATTGTTACAACAAAAATTAGACTAGCAAAGAGAAAAATCCTATTCTATAAAAGAAAATTCTCTGTTCAGGGTCCTAAGACCCTAGGTCACCAGAAAGTAATGCCTTTCACCCTCCATTTCTTCTCTTTTCCTTGCTATAAAGCCCAAGTAAAATCATCTTTAGACTGTATGGTGGCCCCACTATTCAATTCTTCTTTGACCATTTTATTTTTCTTTTGGTCAGAATTCCTTATGAACTAAGTTATGTGCCATTTCTCCTAAAAGTCCCATATAAAAAATTTGAACTTATGCTCTCATAATAAATGCCAGTAAATGGATGATGATTGAATATGTGGTTAAACTAAAATCACTTTTTATTATAGCATTTTTACAAAGAGAATTACTATTTTTAAAGAGCCAACTTCCTGAATCCATTTAAAATATGGTTTTAATTTAGTCATAAAAATGCTTATCACAATTTTCAAAAACATTACAGGGAATAAAATGCAAAAATGATTGCGAAAAGGATATATACTCGTGTCATGCCACTCAAATGCTAAAAACCATCTATGGCTCCCACTACCTCCTGAACAAAGTCCAAGTTACTTTAGGGACTTCTGTGATCTGCTCCCAGCACTTCTGAACTTTCGCTCCTCCAATTTTAGACACCTCACTTTCCCCCCAGGAGTGAGCTGTGAACTGTTTCTTTTGAGCTTTTGCTTCTGCAGGTCCCTCAACTTACAATGCCTTTACCCCTCCCCTCACACCACGTCTTCACGAGTTTCGTCTCTGCTGTCCTCCAAGGTCCACTTCAAATCTTTTTGAAATTCTTCCTGAAGTATTTTCTCCTCCCTCTGGATCCCACATCATTTTGTCTTATATTCATCTCTTCTGTTCTGATGTGATCAGTATTTGTATAGAGTGACCTATATTTCTCCACCCAATGATAAACCCCTGGCAGATCAGATCTGTTTCTAATTCACCTCTAACTATCCCCTTTGTGCCTCAGTAAAGAGCCGGACAATAACAAAGAGTTATTACCTCAAACACTAAGAGTCCACCTTCCACTTTAGTTCTCAAAGAGGGCCACTTTTATCTTTCTGAAAAGCAGAGCATAGGTGTATTTAAAAGCTTTTTACATGTTATTCACATGGTACTTTGCTCTGTATTGTCGGATTCCCTTCTCAAAATAGGTCTTTGAGTAGTAGCATCAGTTATAATTACCCAATTATACAAATGAGCAAAAATTCTGAGCCTTTTTAATGTCATGGAAGATTAGAATCAAGTTTTGTTGGGTCCAAACCCAATGTTCCTCCACTGTCTCCTTCATTGTGTTTGAATCTTAATGACAGGCATCTAAACATTTTAACTGCTTTTGTCTCTGTGCTTAAAATAATCAATTTTTGTGAGGACTTTTTTAGAACATATGTAATATTCCAAGTCAGTAGTTTTTTACTTTTCCAACAAGCATTTGTGCAGCATATATTCAGCCCTACATTAGCATTATTTCTTTCGGAGCAAAGGGAAAATTAAGCATGAAGAAGAATCTATGGGACATATACAATGTAATCCCTGTATTCTAGGGACACACAGATGCAAGTGCATTTGACTTAGAGTTCATTGTGGCTATGCTTAAAAGATACAGTATTTGATAAGGAGACATAATGACCTAAAACCCATCTTTTTATTTAAGAGGAAAATGTGCCTCCAGAGGACATAGAGAAGGTTGCGAATCATGTACTTAACATCTACCTGCCAATAACATCGCAAAATCTAACCCATGAACTTGACAACATACAGAAACTTATGCAACTCTGTGAGGACTACAGGACAGATGAGGACAAGCTAAACAAAGCAGCAGATAGAGCCCAAAAGATTTTGGTGAAGGCAAAAGCAGCTGAGTAAGTACAGTATTAACATTCTCATCTTGCCCTGGCCAGGTGGCTCTGTTGGTTGGTGTGTTGTCCTGTACAGCAAAAAGGTTGTGGGTTCATTTCCCTCTCAGGGTACATACCTAGGTTGCAGGTTTGATCCCTGGTCAGGGTGCATATGGGAGACAACTGATCGATGTTTCTTTCTCGTATCAATGTTTCTCCCTCTCTTTCTTCCTTCCTCTCTCTCTAAATTTAATAAACATATCCTTGGGTGGGGAATATATATATATATATATATATATATATATATATTCTCATCTTGCTTTAATAGGCCAGCTGCTAAAAGGCTCCCTAAAAAAATATTTGCCTAAAATGCTATAACATTCCAATGAAATTACCTTCCAATAATTTGGTGGCCAAATTTAGAGCTCAGCTGTCTGTGGAAGGGCCCCAGGAAGCTGGGAAATTGGGAGGCAGTGTGCAAGGATGCCTGTTTCCCATTTTCCTTAGGCTCAGAATGCCTTTCCAATGGTCTGTTACCTCTTTATACCAATATACACCAATAAATGCCACATGCTGGTTCTATGCCAATGTCTTAACAGGTGGTGGGGATATCAGAGTATTTTTCCCTTCTTCTTTGCCTATTTTTGGTACTTTCTAAATTTATGATAATAAGCAGTATTTTGAATATCTAAGTTTTTTAAAAAGACTATAATAAAAAGATATAATTTTGACTTAGCCAAGCAAAAAGGAAAAGCTATCTTGATGTTTCTTATGGACATGGGGTGCTGTGGGTCAAGGTCATAGTGTCGGTTGGATGGTGGTAACATCACCATCCACCACCATTTGGCTGCCCAGGACTAGAGACCTGAGCTGCCCTCACTGTCTCATGATCCACTTATATAAATTCAGTATACCAGACTCAGCTGTAAGTCCAACCCTTCCAGTTTTAATATTTAAAACTAGAAACATCAAGTACCAGTTATAATCACACAGCTATTAAAAATGATGTGGAGAAAGGATTTTTAATAACATGTAGAGATTATTACAGTATAATGTTGATGCTTTTATTTATTTATTTTTTAAATATATCTTTATTGATTTCAGAGAAAGGAAAGGAGAGGGAGAGAGAGAGAGATAGAAACATCAATGATGAGAGAGTCATTGATCGGCTGCAGCCCACAACCCGGGCATGTGCCCTGACCGGGAATCGAACCCTGATCGCCTGGATCCCAGGTCGACGTTCAACCACTGAGCCACGCCCGGCCAGGCTAATGTTGATGCTTTTAAAAGATGGTAACAGCTCTGGCCAGTGTGGTTCAGTTGGCTGGAGCATCGTCGCCCTGTGCACCGGAAGGTTGGGGGTTCGATTCCCAGGCAGGGCACATGCCTGGGTTGTGGCTGGATCCCAGGTAGGAGCACATGCAAGAGGCAGCTGATGGATGTGATGTCTCTCTCCTCTCAGGGATGTTTCTCACTCTCCCTCCCTCTCTCCCTTCCTCCCTCCCCCTTCCTCCCTGTCTAAAATCAATGTTTAAAATAGCTTTATTAAAAACTAAAAGGTAACAGATTATATATGGAAGAGGATCTCAATCACAAAAAGAAAAAAAATGTAGTGTGAGAATTCTAGACTATGACAGCATTTAAAGGCAGTAAGATTACGATAAATTGTCCCTTCCTGATTTTTTCCCTCCTCCTCCTTCTTTTTCACTCTGTACTTTCTAAATTTACTATAATGAGCAGTACACTGAAAATCTAAAGGAAAAAGACTACAGGAAAAAGATGGGGTGTGTGTGGAGTGTATTATGAGAAGGAAAGGCTCCTGAACCCCCCACTGTAACAATAGGGGGGAAAGTATAGACAAGAAGGCTTCATCCTGTGCGATTCCAACCACAGGACATTCTGAAAAGGGCAAAACTAAGGGGACAGTAAGAAAGGTTAGTGGTTGCCAGGGGCTGAGGGGAGGGATGAACAGGAAGAGCACAGGGGAATCTGAGGACAGTGAGTATACTCTGTATGACACTATCACGATGGAGACATGTCTTTATAGATTTGCCCAAATACATAGAATGTATGCCAAGAGTGAGCCCAAAGGTAAACTGTGATCTTTGGGTGATTATGACGACTCAGGGTAGGTTCATCAGTTGTAACAAATGTGCCCTCTGTTGAGGCATATTTGATGGGGGGGGGAGGCATGTGTATATGTGGGGGCAGGGGGAGTAATAGGAAATCTCTGTGCCTGCTCTTAAAAGAAAAGCCTTTTTTTTTTAAAGGGGGGGATGGGTTGGATCGAGAAGTGGGTGTTTTGGAATTTAGCTATTTTTGCTCTGGGCACAAGCATTTCTAACTATGCCTCTGCAAAGTTTGTCTGATATTTCAGTCACTTGGTACATTCTTCCAAAGGTGGTTGTGAGCCCATAGATCTAAGTAGCTGGTGAATGTTGACTCGAGGTGAGCTGTTTCTGTAAAGTGGCCTATCACTTGGAATGCTTGTGATTTTAACCTCTGACTGGGCCCCTGGGAGGCTGGAATGTCAGTGAAGCTTAAATAAACCTGAATAAACAGCCGGAAAATGCGGGGCCTTTATTTCTCTCTGTTCTCTGTGGAGCCTCTTGACTCTCTCACCCCGACTCCAATAAAGATTTAGAAACTGTTGCTTAAGTTTGAGAAATTACAGAATTGAAATTGGCTGAGGATAATTTTTTGTTCAAAGTTCAGTGGTTATATTCCCCAAACCTCTCTGCTTATGACAAATTAAGAAGAAATAAGACCTGTGTCGTTGGTGTCCATATCTGGTGAAATCTGTTTCTGAACATGCATATAAAAGTGTTTTTATTGGCATTTAATATGCCTGTTTCTCAAAATGAAGACTCCAGCACTTTGGTTTGCTTAAGAGTTTAAATTTACTTTACAAATAATTCAGTAAAATTTTTGGCTGAGTCTAATGAATTCTCAAGGTGAAATATATGAATAATTGCATATTTAGCTAATCTGATATGTTAATATTTTACCTTAGAAAAGCAGCAAATGTTCTACAAAATCCTGACAAAATATTGAATAAGTTGCAACAAGTTCAAATCACTCAAGAACAGGCAAATTCTACCATCACACAGCTGACTGCTGAGATAACAAAAATAAAAAAGAATGCACTGCAGGTATTTCTCTATTTTCTTTGAAACTAACCTGAAAAAATTTTTGAGTGTGGATACAGCCCAGTTTTTACATATGCTAATGTCTCGCTTGCCTTAACTGTCTGGTGGGATTATTGTAAAGATAAAATAAGATTATGGTAATGTGTATTCAATGTTATACAGAGCTCTCCCAGCAGCATTTCATTTCATTGTTGACCAACCCTGGGGGATAAAGCAGGTGCTATCACCAGCTTATAAATGATAAAATTAAGATTCAGGGAGGTTAAGTGACTTTCCTTAGGCCACACAGATAATTAAAGGTAGATCTGAGGTAAGAGTTTATCCCTTCTGATACCTGGGAGAGTAAGAGACTCTTTATTTTATTATTATTTTTTTTAATCTTCAGCCGAGGATATGTTTTGTTTTATTGATTCTAGAGAAAAAGAAAGGGGAGAGAGAGATAGCGAACCATTGATGTGAAAGAGAAACATTGATCAGTTGCCTCTTGTAGCATACTGACCAGGGATTGAATCCACAACCTTTTGGCATATGGGACAACACTCCAACCAACTGAGCCACCTGGCCAGGGCATAGATTCTTTAAAGCTCACAAACCAATGAAATAAAGTTAATTGTTGCCAGCTGTTTGAAACTAAATGTGCATAAAATCTCATCAGAGTATCCTGAGACTGAAAGAATATCTTACCTAAAAGAAAGGGTTCTATCCAGAGTTCGGAGGGAATAAGACCATGGTTTAACACACATGATGGATCCAGGAGAGGAAGCCTGACAACTGGAGGACAGACAGGACCTAGTCCCAAGAAATCAAAGAACCAGGTTTTCCTCCTTCTAAGCATATTCTCTAGAACAGGGTTTGGCAAAATATAGCTCCTGGGCAAAATAGGTACAACTGTTTCCGTCTCCAAAGTCACAGTTTTATTGGGATACAGCCACATGTTATCTGTGGCTTTTTTGTGCTACAATGACACAGAGTGAATAGTTGCAATAGGGACTTCATGGATTAGAGAGTGTAAAATATTTACTACCTATCCCTTTACAAAAGAAATTGCAGATACCTAAAAAGACTCTGACATATGCTCAAGGGCATAAGAAGGGACTTCTATTTCGAAAACTATGCTGGACCAGTACCCCAATGAACCCTTCTAGTAGGAAAATAAAAATCTTAGATGGGACATTTAAAAAAATTTAAATGCATAGCTGAATTAGTAAAAAACAGAGGAAATCCTCAGACACCAAAAATAACAGGAAAGCATGAATCCAGAAAGATAATTAAGAATGAAGTGACAGCAGAAGGCATCTGCTAATCTCTGATGTATCAGAGCTGTTAGTTTTAATGGTCACCATGCATACAGAAAGAAATGAAGCCCATGAAAGGAGGCAATAAGATCCCTGTATAGAGCTGGGATCCCAAAAGGCAAAATCCTCAGTGAAATGTTAAACTACACACACACACACACACACACACACAGAAAGAGACAGAGACAGAGAGACAGGGAGAAAGAGAGAGAGAGAGAACACCAGTAAAGACACTTGCCTCTTGCCTCTTGGCTCTGGGTGGAGGAGAAAAGTCTTCTCTAAGAATTGCTAACCACAAGCTGACTCTCGCAGGAGTTTGGAGCTAGGATTCACACTATCTGGGTGGCCCCAACAACCAAAGCCAAAAATGTCATTTAAAGTGGTCCTGGGTTGGTAGTGCCCTCAGATGCCTGACAGAAGCAAAGAGAAAATCCCCTCCAAAGAATGCACCTTAAAACCAAGCCTCAAAGAATTTCCCCCAAAAAATATATTGCCTTAAACAAGACAGCAAACAACAGAATCAAAATGCAACGACTGTAGCTATGACCATTATTGGGTAGAGTAAAAAGAAGGAATGTTTACTATGTTTAAGAAAATAAAAAAAGTATGACCAAAGAACAAGAGACAAAACAAATGACCGGTTAGATTTCAGAAATATTTAAATAGAACTTTTTGACATGACAAGTATTGTCATTGAAATAAGAAACAAGTAGCCTGGCTGGCGTGGCTCAGCAGATGAGCATCGACCTATGATCCAGGGGATCAAGGTTTGATTCCCAGTCAGGGCACATGCCTGGGTTGCTGGCTCGATCCCCAGCAGGGGGCGTGCAGGAGGCAGCCGATCAATGACCCTCTCTTATCATTGCATTAATGTTTTTATCTCCCTCCCTCTCCCTTCCTCTCTGTGAAATCAATATATTTAAAAAAAAGAAAAAGAAAGAAAGAAATAAGAAACAAGTCTAACTTTCATTATTATTTGTAAAGGGAAAAAAATTAGAAGCCACCTACATCAACTGAAAAATAAAATAGAGTAAAATAATGATATATTTGCATAAAGTTAAAAATATGGAATACTGTATATTGTTAGCATAGGCATATAGTAAAAGCATCTAGAAGAACATGGAATGATAAATATTAGATTCTGATAAGTGGTTGCCTTTTATGGGGCGAGGAAATGTGATGGGGAGCAGTACAGAGGACATTGGCTCACTGGCTGTGCTTTATTCTTACTCTGGCTGGTGGGTGTGTGGATATGTATCACATTTTCTTTTAGACTCTTATATGTCTAAAATATTTTATCATAACATTTTTCTTTTGTAAATGGAACAGAAAATTTAAAGGAATGATTTTTCTTTCCCTTTACACCTAGCCTATTTTCTGAAAGGTAATTATATTATTTATTTTTTTGTTCGCTTCTTGTTACATAAAGAGACTTTCTTTTTTCTGGTTTTAAAATCAACAACAGACTGAAAATAAAGCCAAGGAGACTAAGAATGGACTGGACTTAGCAAAGCAGCAGTCAGCACAGGAGGATGAACTTTCCAGGCTGTGGATCAAGTTGCAAAGGAATCAAGAGCAAGCCATCCATGTGGAAGCTCAGGCTGAATTGGCTAGACACCAGGCTGGGGGCCTTGAGGAAGTTATTAGTTCTACCACTGCCACCAAGAGCAAGCAGTGCTTCTTGGAAAGCTAATACTTCAGTCTCAGATTTTTGTGCCACTTACCATCATTATCTGTAGTGCTTGGTCCGTGCTCAGTGGTTGATGTTTGTAGGGATCCCGATGGGCATGAAGACAGTGGAGGGCTCTGGAGAAGGCAGAAGTCCTCTGGCCAAATCCTGCTGGAGTGTTTACTCCACATCTACTCACCGTAGCATTCTTATGATCTTCTAGTAAAATTTTTCCTGAACTTCCAAACTCTCACAATTTATGTCATGTCACTATATTGTATGTATTTGCCCTTTACTCTAATTAAATCACATAACATATATGGAAAACAAGAAGTGAAAGTCACCTGCCAGAGAATAGATGAAGTTACAAAAATCAGAGTGAGTTAATTAAACAGTTGTGGAAAGTGGCCCATTAATTTAGGCTGCTGAAAGAAACTTTCATCTCATTTTCTTAGCAGAGTATCTTTGGTTGGAAAGCATTAATATGGAAGCTTAAACAGAAGAAAAATGTTAAAGTGTTTTTACAATTGGTCTATTATCTTGCTTTTAATCCGTAATGGGCTGGGTAAAGTTTCCACTGACTTGGGAGTTGAGAATGTTTTCTATGGAACACAGGTTGAGAAAGTGCTCCCTGCCCTCCCCCATCACTTCCATATTTTATACCTGGGTCTGGCCTTTATTCATCTACTTTAACATCCTAAATTGTCAACAACACAGGCTGACCCCAAAGATATCCATTCTAGTTCTGAGGGAGATCTTCATGCTCACACTTCTGCTTCCCTTCCTGCTTCCTTTTCTACCTCATTTCTCTCTCCTTTTTGCCAACCAAATAATGTGTCCTTGGTGAGCCTAGATCATCACCAGTTGCTCTGCCCTGCATTGTGCACATGCAGCTGTTCAACCCAACTGAAGAGTTGTCAAGGGCAGGACTGGGACATTCTGTCCCCTGCACCTCTCACCTTAACATAGCTCAGGACAAACAATTGGTACTTCATAAAGAGTTGCCTTCACCTGGGGTAATGATTGATATTTTGTAACAAAGTTTTATTTTTAATTAACTAAAGCTAAGACTTTTTTCAACCTGAAAAATAAAATGCAAGTAAAAGCCCTGTTGGAAATATCAGAGTAATTCAAGTATATTGACTGGATTATGGTTTCCTCTTATTCCTTTTATGAATAGTATCAGGCAAATATCATGTATATGTACATGCTTTATAAATATTTTCTGATGATGGGAGTGTAGCTCTGTTACAGGAGTTTTTTGAGCTGAAAAATCAATATGCTATTCTTCATTATAAGACATATGCAACAGAACTGACAAAGGAAACATTAGGAAAAGTGAAACAGCTAAAAGATGCAGCAGAAAAATTGGCTGGAGATACAGAGGACAAGATAAGAAGAATAACAGGTATCTCTTCTCTTCTCCAGCTTTATTGACGTATAGTTGACAAATAGAATTGTGTATACTTAAACTATACAATGTGCCGATTTGCTAGACATGTACATTGTGAAATTATTACCACAATTAAGTTAATTAACACATCTATCACCTCACGTGGTTACGTCTTTCTTTTTGCTACTTTTGAGGATGCTTAAGATCTACTCACGAGCACAACATATTATCAACTATAATCAGCACCATACTGTACATTAGATCCTCAGAACTTACTCATCTTAAAGCTGAAACCTTGTACCCTTTGACCAACATCTCCCCATTTCACCCATCCCCCTCCCTGGCAGCCACTATTCCATTCCACTCTGTTTCTATGAGTTCAATTCTTTTTTTTTTAAATTCCACTTATGAATGGAATGAGAGAGATCATACAGTATTTGTCTTTTTCTGTCTGGCTTATTTCACTTAGCATAATGTCCTCCAGGTTCATCCATGTTGTTGCAAATGGCTGAAATATATATATATAATTTTCTTTGCCCATCCACCCATTGACAGACACTCCAGTTGTTTCCATACCTTGTCTATTGTAAATAATGCTGCAATGAACATGAGGATGCAGGTATCTCTTTAAGATACAGATTTTGTTTCCTTTGAATATACACCCAGAAGTGAGATCCCTGGATCATATGGTTGTTCTACCTTTTCTTTTACCTACTCCATCAATTTGACAATAGCGTGGTCAGACTCCATCAGGAGGTAGAATTTATACCAATTTCAATGTATCATTGACACAATTTAACAACATATGAGTCCACTGAGGAGAAAGAAGTAGGAATTGGGTTTGTGTTTTGGGAACTTGCAAAACTAGACCTGGTTTGGGGGCAAAGGATGAATAGACTCTACTTCTTGATGGGAGGAACTACAAAGAATGCACAGAAATTAAGGGAAACAAACAAGGGTCTGGAGGCTCTGGGTGACAGTAGCAGCAAGAAGCCATTAGAGTCCCTGAGCCTGAAGGAACAGGGGAAGCAGGACTGTGAGTGCTGTGAAGTAGGCCTATGGACGCTGGAACAGAAGGGAAGAGGCCATGGTCTTACTTAAAAGGGTACTGCCCTGGCCGATGTGGCTCAGGCAGTGTTAGGGCGTTGCCCCTCGCACTGAAGGGTCGACAGTTTGCTTCCCAGTCAAGGGCAGGTCCCTGGGTTGCAGGTTTAATCCCCGGCCCAGTCAGGGTATGTGGGGGAGGAAACCAATCAATGTGTCTCTCTCACATCGATGTTTCTCTCTCTCTCCCTTTCTCTCTCTCTCTCTCTCTTCCTTTCTCTCCCTCTCATTCCCTCCCTCTCCCTCCCTCCCTTCCACTCTCTCTAAAAATCCATGGAAAAAAGCATTCTCGGGTGAGGATTAGCAAAAAAAAGGGGGGGTATTAATTAGCATTCACTCTGTGTTAATCAGAACAAACAGGTTTACCTTTGGCCACCTTGAAACACTTTTCTTAACCCAGTGGTTCTCAACTGGGGGTGATTATATCCCCTCCTCTGGGGACCAAAGTGTCTAAAGACATTTCTATTTGTCACAACTAGGGTATACAACTAGCATCTAGTGGATGGAGGCCAGGGATATTGCTAAACATCCTATAATGCACAGGATACCCCTCTCCCCATGACAAATGATTCTTCTGCCCTAAGTATCAGTGGTACTTAGGTTGATAAACCCTGTCCTAACTTATGCTGCTTATTTTCTCCCCTTGTGCAAATCACTTTTTTGGAGTCAGTGTGATTTAGACTCTAGGGCACTAGGTCACCTAGCAGGGTCCGTAGGTAGCAACCCAGAAGGAATCACATTCTGGACAAAGATTTTGATCAAAATGGATATTTTGATGCACACAGTGTACACACCTAGAATGCATACAATCAGAAAGTTCATTAGGATTTTTGCTTTCCACAACTGATACTTATGATTTTTCTAGGCAATCATCATGTCCTTAACTACCTCTAAATCAATGTGAAATATCAAATGATGAGTTAGAGGTCTAGTTTTACTTTTGGTTGTATGTGTTGTCTCCAAAAATTTTAAAACAACAATATTTATTTTTAACATAAGTAACTCTCAAAGTTTTAAAATAACTCCAAATCCTCACTTATAAATTCATATCATCACTATGACATGAAAAAAAATGAAAATGTAACATTAGTGTGGTGCAAAGCAAAGAAAAATACATACCAAACAGTTAATATTAGTTATCTCTGGGGAGGGGGAGAGTGAAGAGGAAAACACACTTTTTACATTTATATAATTGTTTTAAAAGTAGTGAGCTTCTGGACATTTTTTTCATTTTCAGTATTTTCCTAATAATTTAAAAAAGGAGATACTCGGAAAGATTCAAAAAGACAGACATAATGTTTTTTACCTTATACTCTGTTACACAGAAAATACCATGAAAATCAGCTTCTATTATGCCCAGACCTCAATTCTTTCTATAAGAGCAAAACCATGGAGAGAATATTTTCTGCCTTATATTTTATGTAAGGGTACAAATTGTTTCTACTTATCCCCAGAGACTAAAGCTTTCACTGTTCTCAAATTAGGTTTGAAGAGAAGTTAGGGGACTTCTCCTTAGAGAGGTCTAAAATAACACATTCCACTTTTTCTCTTTTCATGTTAATGCTGTTTTCACAACTCAGCAAGAGAGGAAAGACAGACATTGGCTTGGCCATCTTTCCAACTTTGCCACTTGAGAAGGGGCTGAACCACAAGACCTGTGCCCTGTTCCCATCTGTTAGGAAGAGATGCTTGTGGGATCCCAGAAAGCAGCCCTTACTTTGGCAAGATCAAAGTTGAGAGAGTTGAGAATGGACCCCAGTCTGCAGCCAAGGTCCCTCCATAGAATTTTGTCAGTCAGGGTCCCAGAAAGAAATAGAAAGCACACTTGGATGTAATTCTGAATCATGTATATATAAACAGAGTTGTCTCAGTTATCTATCCAAGCAGCTGTGTTCAGCTGATGGGTCTTCTGGCAGGTCTACCAGGGACCGGACTTGGCTGAGAGGCTGGACCTCTCTACGGGTCTTTCGTCCTAGGCTGCTTTGCAGCAGTTGTTTGAAGGTTCCATGAGAATAAGTACAGAAGCTGTGAGGCTTTTGAGGTCCTACAACATCATTTCTTCCACCTTCTATTGGTCAAAATAACTTGCAAAACCAGACCTGGTTTGGGGGTAAAGGATAAATAGACTCTACTTCTTGATGGGAGGAACTACAAAGAATGCACAGGAATGAAGGGAAACAAACAAAGGTCTGGAGGTTCTGGATGACAGAGCAGTGAGAAGCCATTAACATCCCTGAGCCTGAAGGAGCCGGGGAAACAGGACTGTGAATGCTGTAAAGTAAGCCTGTGAACGCTGGAACGGAAGAGGCCACCCTTCAAGAGCTGGAGCTGAGAGATGTAAGAACTGACAGACCTGCTGCTCAACAGGGAGGAGTCTGCTCTCTCCCCCCGCCCCACGCGCACCCCAGTTCTCAGAACCTGGCAGTAACCAAGTGTGACTGACAGCCAGAGAGCGGTCAGGGAGCAGGTGATGTCATCCATGGAGGCTAGCTTTCCAGGACACACGGCAGGGTGGAGACTGGCTCTGGTGGGGAAAATAAAAAATATCCAGCACAATCTTTTTAACTTATGTAGTAGAAACATGGGGGTCTTGTCTTTTTGTTTTAGAAATACATTTTCAATGCTGAATCCCCTTTTCAATTCCAAATGACCTATATTTGAGTTTCTATTGACAGAATGCTCACCACCTTTCATAGCAGCTCTTTAGGCTCTGAGCAGCTGTGACTACTAGAAAGTTCTTTATATTCAGACCAATCTTCATGGAGCTTTCACCTGTTGGTTACATTCTATTTCCTCAGGCTGACAAAAAGAAAGAAAGGAAAGAAAGAAAGAAAAAGAAGGAAGGAAGGAAGGAAGGAAGGAAGGAAGGAAGGAAGGAAGGAA